ATCTTCCCTATCGCGAGTCCCCGCCTGTATCCAAACGTGCCTTTCCTCTCCGCGGTCCCCAGCAGCCCGAGAGCCCCTAACCCTTCCTCCCCTGCTCTCTGCGTCTGGCCGGGACCTTTGTCACGACTTGTCTGACCATTCCAGGCTCGCTAGACCCAAGCCGTGGTGGGTGTGCTATTGCTCAGATCTGGCATCGCTCTGCCGCTTTTCCTGGCTAAAGCAGAGGGGATCGGGGCTTTCCACAGTAGCCCTTGAGCCAACGATAGCCAATCAGAACTATAAAGACCTGAACCCACGGGGCATTGGTCTAAACGCCGCAGCTAGGCTCAGACCGGTGGAGAACGGCGGCCGGTATTCCATCAGTAGCTGGCCTTTCCCAGTTCAACTGGAACAGGAGCGCCATTTGACCGCCCATTTCGCTGCCCCCGGCCTTAGCCGTGATGGTACCCAAGCTCCAGGCATGATTGTAAGGGCAGCGAGCGGCAGGTCCGCCGCGCCAGTCTGAGCAGGACCCGGAGCTCCCGCGCGGTGAGCGGGACCTTTGGATACAGGAATTCCCATGTCGAAATCTCTCGCTTTGCTGAACGAATGAAAATCTTCCTGTCTCCTTCCGGTTCCTTTTGTATTTCCCAGCCTTCAGCAGCAAGGCACAGTTGTTTCTGAGTGTGTATGCGGGAGCGTTTGCTTAGCTGGTCCCTGCACCAGGCTCCATGGGACTCTCGTCTTATTTCGGTTGTTCAGTAAACTCTCTCGTTGTCTAAGAGGTGATCCCGAGTTGGGGAGTTGAATCTCTTGCTTCCCCCAGAACTGGCGCCGACCACTCCAGGGGAAATGCTCTGCCCTGGGTTCTGATCTCCATGCTCCCTGATGGTCTAAGGGACGGATCCCCAGCTAATGTAACTCAGCATCTCTCCGTTGGGGTTAATGGGCGAGATCCCCAGCTGGCGTCAAGCGGTGCGGCTCATTGGACCTGTTCCTCACCTGCCGTGGAGCTGGCCGAGAGGCTGGCCGGGTCCCCGCGGCG